ACAATTCTGGAAGAGGAGTGCGCGCCGCATCCTAAAAAGGGATTGGTCAGCGGCGAAGGTTGCATCCTTTTATATTTTATACTTTAAGTTTATCACTTTGCAGGCCACTGTTTTACTGATATTTCCGTACAATTTTTCCCAGATGTTATACCGGTAGTCAATGATTCCCATAGTAGTGGTTTCTTTGTATTTTCAGTTTCAAATGAGGAAGTGAAGTGAGGAAGTGCCCTTGTGCCCAAACTCGTTTTGCCAAATTCAAAACTGAACGAAACGCCAAAAAATTTGAAACAGTGCAGAGAGAAAGTATTTCTATGTGGTTATGATTCGCAGTGTGTGATGAGAACAGGCTCATTTGCTTAGATATTCTATAATGTAATTTTTGAAACGTTGCAATTTAGTGCTTATATTTCAGCTGAGCAATCAAGATGTTATGAATACGTTGGAGTATATGCCGCAGTTTTTGCAGTCTCCACCGAGTATATTGTCGGGATCTGCTGTGAGTTTGACCTCATAACTTATTGCTAGCCTTCTGATCAACTGAACGGTGTCCTTCAAAGATTTCCATGGGTTGCCCGCCTCCGACGCCTGCTCGTCCATGGTGGATGGATAGCCCTTTGGCTGCTGCAGCTCAGAGCCCTCTAGCTGCTGTGGCATCATCTCTAAGTGGTGGCAATGTCACTCCACTGGGCCCTGCTACACCAGTCGGCTTAGGAGCAGGTAGGGGTTTCAGTTTTATGAGAGCTCCATTTTCTTTTATATAGCCCTCATGGTCATGCTTTAGGTCCTTCTACACCGCCTTCGCATTTGCGCTCCGAACTTCGAAGTCCAGTCGTAGTGAGAACGATGCCGGTTCAACTGTCACCTGAAATGCCGACAATCCTGAGTTCACCTTCTACGTTGACATCAATCGACGTCCAAAATCATTTTAGTCGTGGCGGTCACGTTGGTGTCAAACAGCCGACTGCGTCGGATCGACTCGAGCCCCACATGCTCTCACTTCAGAAGGCAAGTGTACCGTTCTCAATTTCAGCGTTACTTTTGAACACCGTAGGTAATTCATTAGAACAACGAGCCTTGTAGAGTTGAAGAAGCAGGCTTAGCGCTTCGCTCTCAACATGGAAATTCGGCAGTTCTCTCGCCAGCATTAACCACTCTGATAAAATTGATCATTATTACAGGAGGAGAAATTATTCGTACCTCCATCGGTGCCTAAGCAAGATTGGATCTCTTCGCTAAGTCCAAATCTTAGAAGCTCTTCAACCATAATTAACTCACCTCACACGCAAAATCGCTCAGCTCCTGCCACTGCGGAAATCCATCCGAATGAGGGAGCAAATCCATGGAAGGTTTGAACACATTTACTTGAACTTCTGTGAACTTGACGCAAGAGTCTTGTTAGCTGAATTACTTTCCAGTTAAATGATCTGAACAATGCTGGGATGTTTCCCCAGGTTCCTCCATATTCAGTTGGAGATCACATCAGCGATGCAACAGCACAGTCACCTTCTGCACTTGGCCGAGTTCACGTGAGAGCAGGTGAACAGATTTCTCCAAAATAAGCTTAGTTGGTCTCTTTGGGCTGTTGAACTGTTTGTTTTGTTGTTGATCTAACAGATTACTGTGTCAGGTGCCAGCGATAAAGCAGATCTCAAGGAAGAATTGATTCTAATGAGTGCGCCCTCCAGTGTCAAATCGAGCAGGGGAGGCAGTCGCCAAGTGTGTAGACTGTACCAAAAAAGCTACAGCGGCTTGGGTCCTCATAGCTAATTATTTGAGGTACAAGCTGACTCGACCTTGCATCCAGAGGAGAGGAAGCGAATTCTTCACTTACACGCAGAACAGAATCGTAGAAGTGCCCTCAAAGATGGATTCGATATGTTGATGGATATGGTACGTGTCTTTTTCTTTATCATATTAGGTTGTTCGAAAAGTAATGCGACACTTTGATTGAATTGTTCTAGAAAAAGACCAAAAATCATTTTGGATGTTTTTATCCCTGATTAGTGGAGACTGTCCTCTGGGGTTTCTGCACATGGGTATATCATGACTTTGTGGAAGTTTTCAAAGCTTAAAAGTCCCCAGAGATCGAGGTACTTTTCGACCTGTCCCATATTATGAGTTCCTGTAGGGCCACTCCGCCGTAGTCGAGGAAGCTGACACTTACGTTGTCTTGAGGAAGGATATCGCTTGCCATGGCAGAGGGTAGCTTTTGCATCAGCGCTTCCAGGCTGGACTCCAATTAACTTGTGAAGTGACGCGCAATGTTATATGGTCACGCCTCACAAATGAGTGACTCCACACTGCACAGAATGACGCCAATTTACTCAAGCGCTTCTTTGAGGCAACAGCCGAAGGCAACGCACGAGTAAGTTGGCAACCTCTCTAGGCTCCACCTCACTGATAACGCTTCTCCGCAATCTCGGTTATCGGAAAAATTTTTTGTGAAGGATGCCTCATGAGTTAGACCAGTCTGACAAGTCATACCGAATGACCGTGACTGAGTTTTCTTTTCCTTGTACACAGCAAAAGAACTTTTGTGAGATCTCGTGGTTGGTAGCGAGCGTTGGAGTCCTTGCGTACATCATGCACAGTTTCTCCCCGCAGGAATCTCTCACTAGATTGCTATGGTTACTCAAAAACAGATGTGCTGAGTGCTTTAGAGGATAGAGACGCACAATCTAATTTTATATAGATTACGAATATATAGAGATGACGTAGATTTAGTTTACAGAAATACATCATATAATCATTTACCCACTATAGACGAACACAACACCACACATCGGAGACGCGCATGTGGCAGTCAGCTACACAAAAGATCCATGGATACTCGACTCAGCAGAGAGAAGATATATAAAGCAACAATTCCGAAATCGACTCAACTCGAGAATGAGGTCCACCTCTTCTTTTTATCATAGTTGCCGTAGTTCTATGAGAATGGAAATGAGAAGCTGTGCAAAAGAAGGGCACTAGTCCTAGTCATCAACTGCGGTTACCTTGTAGATTGGAGATGTCTTTTAGTGACGAAAATTTAGTCCGAAAAATTTGGTCAAAGTGTCGCATTACTTTTCGAACAACCTAATAGAAATTGACGAGGTGCTCATGGGCGTTAGTAAAGCTTGTCGCTTATTTTGAGTTATCTTCGTAAATGTGACTGTGTTTGATTACTTTCCTTCTAGATTCCGGATTTGCATTCTGGAGGTGTCAAACCAACAAATGCTGTTGTTCTTGCCAAAGGAGCGGACCACATTAGGAATCTCACCGCCACTAGGGATGAACAAGTTGCTCAACGAGCCGCCCTTAATGAAAAGATCGCCAAGTTGAACCAACGCATAAGGTTTCTAAGTACTTCTTAATGTGGTTGCTCAGTGCTTTTATTGCATCTCTGTTAGCTGCTAAGAGCATTCGAGTACGCCGTCTTTTCTAGTGCCCTACAATCGAATCTTCCATCATCAAGTGGGTCCAGTAACGCGAAATTGGAGCCTAGAGCAGCTCTTGAGGCGTTCTATGATCGTTATACTAAGGAGCGTAGTCGAAAGGATTACCGATTTTGGGTGGTGGGTTGCCTTTTTGTTTATTAGGATTTTTTCAACTTTCGCTTCACGTCTGATTCGTTCTTTTTTAGTTGGCCCGGCTGCTGCGACCGATTGCAGTTGGAGAAACTTCGTCGTTCGCCAGTTCGATTGCACCTGAGGGCTCATCGAGAGAAGAGGTATCCTCATATGGTAGTAAAAAATATTCAAGCCATTCAAGCCATTCACGGCAGAATTCAGCAACGGTATTGGGCATCATGTTGCCCGAATTAGAAATAGCTTGAATCTCCCACCTTCCCCCCCCCTCCTCAATGGAAGCATTACTATGATTTCTTGTCGCGAATGGGTTAAAATAGTCTTGATATTGTGATCAACTATACCAATATTGACGCTCCAAAAATGTATTTCGAAAGAATTTAAGAGACTGCGAAACGCTAAAAGTTCTCGTCTTAAAGACACCGGTACGATCACACATAGTTTGGGTGTGCGTGACTATCAGCCCCCAGCTGTCGAAGCGTAGCGGTTTCCCCGTCCTAACATGCGCAGGAATGGAGATACAGGACCGTGAAACACGCTAATTCCTCCATGCTCCGCCCAATGCCTTTTGCGGCGCAGACTCCCGTTTATGCTAACAGCCGTCCGCGCGGCGCGTGTCGCGCGCAGCGCTCTTGGCACTTTGCCAAGTCCTGTGAATTGCGCTTTAGGATACAAGTAAATGAAATCCTGATGCGAATAATCATTTGAGGTGCTGCAAATGATGAGGGCTAGAACTCAAAGAGCAACTGTGGTGCTCTGCATAATCCTCAAAGGCCGCGCCCTTCCCACAAACATGAAATAAACAACGGCCTAGGGGAGTCCACACGTACGTTCAAATGATATTTTCAGGCTTTGAAGCCGAAGTTCGCAGCCGAGTCGCGGAAATTCAACGCGCGATTAATTAATTTGCGTTTCCTTATTTTTTCAATTTTGTTTTATTTACATCTACATTCGTTGTTCTTCATTTCTAGCCTTTGTCATCTTCATCACCTTCTATTCGGACTTTGCAGCATGAGCAACACCTCAAATGTTATCCGCATCAGGAAATTGCGTTTTACTTGTATTCCAAAGCGCAATTACAGGACTTGGCAAAGTGCCAAGAGCGCTGCGCGCGACACGCGCCGCGCGGACGGCTGTTAGCATAAACGGGAGCGCCGCAAAAGCATTGGGCGGAGCATGGAGGAATTAGCGTGTTTCACGGTCCTGTATCTCCATTCCTGCGCATGTTAGGACGGGGAAACTACGCTTCGACAGCTGGGGGCTGATAGTCACGCACACCCAAACTATGTGTGATCGTACCATGTGTCTTTAACCGTATTTTCCGGTGTCTAGCGCTTCGGCTGAGCGGTTTATAATGTATGGATAAGTGCGTTAACGCACATTGCACGACATCGGTCTTTCTCACCTACTACCTTTCACTAGCCTCAAATACTGGGAAAATCGCTGTGTCAGTTACTGTTTGTGATATTGCTTTTGACAAAGGTAATTTGACGTTGGAAACAAAGCGTACACTCACCTTCTAGGACGGTCCTTTTTTTTGTGAGACGTACCGGTCCGCAACTACAGTAGCCTGCCACTCTTTCCACTCAGAATTGTATAGGAACGGGGCTGGAGAGTAGTGTTTTCCGTCAACCGTCTCCGTAATCCGTCCGCGCCGCGCTATCCACACTGTGCAGCACTTTCGTCAATACCAAAGATCT